CCCGCGCCGCCCCCCACACACACACACACACACACACACACACACACACACACACACACACACAAACACACAGGAACTCAAAATATACAAGCAAAACACCAATAAGACAAAAAAACCCAAACAAAGCAATTTGAGACTAAAGTCTACAAAAATACTATTAAATTATTTTCTTTCAGTTTGTTAAGGTTCTAATTCAATAATATATTTTCAATGTATACTATAAGCTCATGGAACATAATTTATATGATAATGATGGTTTATGGCAAGAAGGAAAATCTCCCATTCCCATGAATCCCCAGACTTTCTCCCTCTTCCCAGAAGCAGGTCTTTTTCCTTCCACAGGTAGCTTGCACATGAATGGTGGCAGATTTAACAGTTGTCCACTGTTTTCTTGCATCTCATTCTGTAGTGATAGTCAGTTTGCGATAGTAACAAGTGGCTGTACCAAAAATCTGTTTAGCAGAGCTCCTGCTGATGGACAAGTAGATTAATCCTAGTCTACTGTCACTATATGAAAACTGCACACTCTCCTTGTACTCACAGGATAAATTCCTTTTGATTAATATTACTAGGAACTTCAAGGCACAGCTCACTTGGGAGAATTATAGCTTCTCAATATATAATATTTGTATATGCTAGTACTGTGTGCATCCAGACTTTCCCAATCCCTTCCCTTCTAATTCCTCCACAAGCTCCCTCTTCACTTTTCCTCCCAACTTCACATGCTCCCCTTTTTAAGCTTTATTTTTGCCTATTTGTTTGAGACAGGTCTCAGAGTGTAGCCCTGGCTGGCCTGGAACTCACAGAGATCTGCCTGCCTTTGCCTCTTGAATACTGGGAGAAAAGGCATATGCCACCACATCCATTTTTATTTTAAATTTTCTACCCACTAAATCCACTTAGTGCTTTCTGTATGTGCACGGATGTAGGACCTTCGACAGGAGTCGAGCAGCCTCTCAGTGCCCACATCCCTGAAGAAAAGTGGCTCTCAGGACTGAAGAAATGGCCCAGTGGTTAAGAACACTAGCTGGTCTTCCAGAGGTCCTGAGTTCAATTCCCAGAACCAAATGGTGGCTCACAACCATCTGAAGGGAGATCTGGTGCCCCCTTCTGGCCTACAGGGATACATGTGGACAGAACATGGTATACATAATAAATAAATAAATAAATAAATAAATAAATAAAATATATAAAAAAGATAAGTGGTTCCCACTCTCCCAGTAGGCATAAATTGCCAAGAGCTTCTCAGAAAAAGAGAAGTGGTTCCCACTCTCCCAGTAGGCATAAATTGCCAAGAGCTTCTCAGATACAGGTGGGACTTCATCAGCCCCTCCCTCATGTATGCTGGGATTTTGGCTGGCTTGATATTATGCAGGTCTTGTGCATGAAGTTCCATCTGTTATGAGCTCATGTGTGCAACTGCACTATTGTATCCGGCAAAGAGACAGTAAAACTGATGTATACATAGACAAGTAATGACAACATATAAGCAGAAAATATTTACTCACTTGACCACTTCAAAGGTGAGTCTGATGTGAGCGCTGGTATCCACTTGTATATCCCAGGTACACACCACATTGGTGGGATATTTTTTAGGATACCAAGGACTAGAGAAGGAGCCTGAACTATTTGTGAGCAAACCACCACATTGGAAATTTTCATCTGTAAAAAGGTGAGGAAATCCCATGAGGAGACACAAACCTCTGATGCTTTTTGCTTTGTTTTGTTTTTAGCAAAGACAAGAGCAGACACAATGAGAGCAGCAGAGGAAAACAAGCTGAGTGTAGGGGGTGCACACCTACAATCCCAGCACCAGGAAGGCTGAGCCAGGATCTCAAACGTGAAGCTGAAATTGTGGGCATGTATCATATTGACTTATTTTATACAGTGCTAGGGACTGAACCCAGGGCTCCCTGGGTGCTTGATAAGCTCTCTTCCAACTGAGCTACAGCCCCAGCCTCAGCAACAACCTTTTGACAGATGAAGACCATTCCCTTTGTGATGGGAAAATGACAACACCTAGAACTGAACAGGTCTCACAAACCCAGGTGCCCAGGTAGGTTTACATGTGCAAACCCAGGATACTGTGCTGTAGAATAGCTCATATTCGATCAGTGACTCTCAACCTGTGGGTTGTGACCCCCATAGGGGTCACAGTTCAGATATTCTGCATATCAAATATTTATGATTCATAACAGTAGCAAAAATACAGTTTTGAGGTAGCAACGAAATAATTTAATGGTTTGGGGCCATGGCAACTTGAGTAACTGTATTAAAGGGTAGCAGCATTAGGAAGGTTGATGATCCTGAACTGACTTTATTAAAAGAAATAACTGGGAAGCTATTAAACTGATCCTGCATCTTAGTTCCTACATAAGCAAACCAAACTCAGCTCATAATATATTATCATTACCAATTAGAAACTGCCAGCTCACCTCTAACTAGGAACTTCCCACTCTAGTGATCCAAAGGAAGACATTGGCTCACTTTCACCAAGCAAACATTGGCCTTGCCTCCAGCTTTGCCCCTATCAAAGCCTGTCCTCTAGGTGAGCCCCAAATAATCCCAGTTTGCAGCTGCTCAATTCAAAATGGCTATCTGCTCAAGATAAATTCTTTAAAGTTTTAATGTGCCAAAGCTGATATTTTAATAATTATATACAAATTGGAGCTGAAATCAAGACCAAGATTAATTATCCAGTTAGTGCCAAACCCTTGGATTTGGTGTGTGATTAGCTATAGATGCCTCTGTAGCAGCTTTTTACATATTAAGAGAAGAAAGGGCGTCATCCAGATATAGGATGAGTTAAAGTAGAAATAGACGCACACACCAAAAGAGCTGCATGCAGTACCTGTCATGAGGTCATCAGTGGAGTCTATGAAGATACACAGAAGAAAAAGGTCATGATCAAGAATTTGTATCCATATTTAATTTTTTTCTTAAAATACCTTAGACTATTAACCTTCAGAAGCAAGCATTCCTCTGTGCCCAGTGAACAGAGGTAGCCCTGACTCTTAGGAGTTTGCACATTTGTACCTCAAGATTATGGACGGGGTCATTGCAGACAACCTGGGATTTCTGGTTCCTTGTTCCATCTAGAATCTCATGACATGACCATCACTGCCAGCAGTTGGTCCAAGAGATTTCATCTCTGGTAGATCTGAACCCTTCCCTTACTCTCTCTTATCTTCTCACCCTCTGCAGCACTCAGTCCCACCAGATTGCCCACTGTAACAGGCGTTCATTAGTGCCTTTGGAATTAGAAATAAAGTAATTGGGCCATCCTCTCCAGTCTCAGAACTTGAATAGTAGCTGGGATTCTCACCCACAAGGGCCCTGGCAACTGAGTGGATGTATTGACAGACAGTACCTGCTGGTCCTCTACTAGGTGTGTCATCAATACCTATTAAAAGACAAATGTGAGGGTGAGAGACAGATTAAATAATGTGGTCACATAACTCCCCATAAAAATCAGGCACTTTGCTTAGGATTAGACATGCCCTCTTCTGGGCCATTGGAAACCAGAATCAAAACTCATCCAGGCTAGTGAAGGAATCAGGGAGCCAGAGTGAAGAAGCACACTATGCCCTTGGGGTTCAAACTGTTTGTTTGATTTGACCAGTTTCTGGGCCAACAGAGCCTCTGTAACAGAGATAAGCCCTGTCTTTAACCCAGGACCTTAGCCAGGCAATACTTAGAGAACATGGTCCTGCATGTGGTGTTGGTTATGCCTTTGAGGGCTTGATCAGCTGAGTAGAGATGCTAGAGTCTCTACTTTACTGGAAGTTGTAGATACGAACTGAAAATTCAGATACTCTGGTTGTAGGACAGTCTGGCATTCACAGAACACTTGGTGGATACTGGATTGTTACTCGTACCCAGGCATGCCAGGCCAGGCATAAGATGTCTGCTAATACTGACCATTTATATAATTGCTAGTTTCCGTGTGCCACTCTGAGCCCTTTACAGATGCTGGAATCTAAGATAGAAAACTACCTCTTAAGTAAATTGACTTAAAAATTGGCTCAAACCCCAGGACTCATTGCTGACTGCTTGCCTGCTGGTATTGACATCTCCTTTCCCAATGGCTGGGGGTTGGCAAAGCTCTGTCTCTGAGATGTGATGCAAGCCACGCCACTCACCTGAGCAGACCACGCTGGCATCCTCATGGTGCCCACAGTTGTGGGAGAACCATCCGTGGTGTGTGCATTGCCACACCTTGGCTTCATCCCCCATGCACTGCACATCATCCAGAATGATATGGCCCATGCCTCCTTCAAAGTAGCTCTCAGCTGGAGCTGACATGGCCTTACCACAGCCAAGCTGCTGGCATACCACCTTGGCATCTGTCAGGTCCCAACTGTCATCACACACTGTGCCCCAGGTACCATTGTAAAAGATCTCTACTCGGCCCTCACACCTGTGGCTGCCATTCACCAGTCTCAAGGCCATACCTAGGAATGGGAAAATAGGTGCTTCTGAGATGTGACATTGTCCTCATATTCTAGGATCATCTGAAGGCGGAAAAAAATGTTCTCTGTGTTGGACCCTTGGAGTGGCCCTGTGACTTGATTCCATAAAACAGTCTTGCTTTACAACTGCTGAAGAGTGATTGGTGCCTAATTAATCTCCCCTTCCTCCATGCCCTCCGTGTGTGTGTGTGTGTGTGTGTGTGTGTGTGTGTGTGTGTGTGTGTGTGTGTGTGTGTAGACACGTGTAGAGGCCAGAGGACACCTTTGGTTGTTGGGCCTTGTCTGATTTGAGCCAGGCCTCTTCTTCACCACACCGGACTAGCAGACTTGTGAGCCTCTGGGAATTTGGCTGTCTCTGCCTCCCAGCTTTGCACTCAGCTTTGTGGGTTCTGGGGATCTGAACTAAGCCATCTCCCAGCCCAGTATTTTAGAATCTCATGAGCTCCCAAAAGTACCCCAGTTGGATAACTTACATTAAACACAGAGAGCTCTAGAATGTTCCTGCTCCCTGTTGTGGGACCTGAGAGGTCCACAAGTGTTCTGGATGGTGTGGTTGAATCCAGTCAGAAGAAAGTAGACTGACAATTATACTTTGTGATGGTTCCAGAACAATCTTTCATATTACTTTACTCTTTCCTTTGGGAGGGGAAGGTCTCAGTGGGATTCTCTATCGGCACACACATATGAGACAGGTATTTCTACATGCTTTAGTAGAAGACAGTGGCTGTGGGTGGCAGAGCAGGAATAAGGGCTATGACTGGCAGTGTTAATGCCACTCAGTACCAGAGATGAGCACATTGGGTGTGGTATAATTCTGGTCGGAATTTAAAAGCATCTTCTCTCTAAATGGGACAAGGCACAGCCAGAGGTACTTCCTACAAGGTATACGTCAAGGTACCCACCATTCTGCCTTTCATCTTGGTGAACAGTGTTGTACAGAGCATAGAACCCTGTGTTGGTGATCATGGCATCACTTTTAAACACCACTGTCATGGAATTTGAAGAGGAGAGGAATGTGAGTTCTGCCCCAGCACAGACTTTGCCCATAGACAGTGAGTCAACTTGCTTTCCATCGAACACTTCAACATAGTCATAAGGGCACCCGTAGATGTCTTCTAGCCTGAGAGGATAAAGGCAGCATTAATCTCCCCAATTCAGACTCCTCCCACCCCCACTCATCACCTTTAAGAGTCCCCTTGAATATGTCTCTTCCCCACCTTTACCCCCCTAGACTATCCTGGTCTGCCAGATTTCTGTTCTCATCTGGTCTATTTTGGTGTCTTCCATCTGGAAGCATCTCTGCCCCTCTTCCCCTTTACCATACATATCTCTTTGATAGCTCTGACCCTTTAATTTAAGCCCTGTTTTGGGTGGTAGTCAGTGTCCACTGGAGACTCACAGAGGAAAATGCCCAAGAAGACCCTGTCTGGGGGAGATAATGACACCGTAAAGGAATCTAGTAGGAGGACTCATCTCACCAAGGCCTCAAATGGCCCACATTTTCATTAACCTGGATAATGAGAGAGTTGTGCCAAGCACTCCACACAGTCTTCTTCTGCCTTGACCCTAGCCTAGTTTTACAGGTATTGATTGCTTTGACTTCATTGCACATATCAACTTATCACTACCTGAAAATTTCCACTGAGTTAATGGTTTCTTTCAGAACTGTTTGTCTTTCCATCTAGATGTAAACTCACATCAGTAGAGTCTTATCTACTTTGTTCAGCCCAGTCCTAGATAGGAACCCACACAGAGAGAGAACAATCAATACATATGGAAAGCACATTGGTGCTTATCTAACATAATAAATATTACATAGCATGTACCATGATGTGTGTAATTTCTGGACTATAACAAGTAGTCATCTGTGCCTCCATCATAAATTCTTATTGCAAACACACACATGGATATATGTATATACCCATACCCAATGGACCACTTTACACACAAATTTAGTACTAGATTTTTAAATCTGCCATTGTATATCTATCCCAGTGAAGTAAAAACAAAACACCAAAAACTAACACATTTTTGTTTTGTTATCGGGACAGGGTCTCCATATATAGCTGTTTGTCCTGAAATTCACTATGGGCATCAGGCTGCCCTGGACATGGAGATCTTTCTGTCACTGTTTAATAAGTGCTGGGATTAGAGGCACCATGCCCAGCTAGAAAAGAACCATTTTTAAAGAAAAAAAAAGTAGTGATACAATTTACATGCAAAGTACAACAGAGTGGCAGTAACAGGTATTGGATTGAAATGGACTCCGTGGCCAAAGCGTTCCCATGCAGAGAGGCCAAGTAAGCCCCAAGGGACCTTGGCTTTGATTTGCAACATAACTAACTCAACCTGAGTTATGTCTTGTAGATGACTGCACTGGGGCTGAGACTCTAGCTCAGTGGTATAGTGTTTGCATGGCAACCCTGGAGTCTTGGGCAACCCAGTGTCTCAAAAATGAGAAATAAATGCCTATTTCTGTACTAAAGAAAGACAATTCAAGCTTAACCATAGTCAACACCATTACATAACTAGGCACTTTCCAATGGGGTGGACCAAATGAGGCAATTCTACAGCTGCAGCCAAGTGAACATTCTCTTTGTTTCATTTCTATGTGCCCATGGAGGCTTTCCTCTGCATTTCCTTAGGGTAGCTCCAGAATCAGTTCTTGTTAGTTACTAGATTCAAGAATCCTTGTTTTCTAAGTCAACTAAAAATATCACTGTGCCCCAGGTTACTTGTTTTTCTCAATCTGAAAACTTATTACTTCAGTAGGCAGGAACACTTGGTGAGAATGAAATGGTAAAATTTAAATATGGTATAACTCAGAAATACCATCACTCTTTTGAGAGAGTTCTCTTGTTGGCCTGGAGCTCAAGGAGAGACAGGTTTGCCAGCCACTGGGGATCAGCCTGTTTCTACCTCTTCAGAAATGGATTTACAGCTACATATTACCACACTCAGCATTTTTATGTGGGTTCTGGTGGTTGAACTCAGATCCTCTTGCTTGTCAGGCAAGCACTTTACTGACTGACATATCTCTCCAGCCACTATATAAAGACATAATTTTAGCACTTAAATGTGAAGCAAATTTCCGTAGGAATTGCAATAGAAAAACAAATAAGCCTGACCATAAGTCAGGGCTTCTTGATTTTAATCTCACAACTGTGCTCATGATGGTGTTGGGAAACTCCTGTATTGGGAGGGGTGGAGGGAGTTGTCTAGATCATCATATCATTGTAGGACATTTAGCAGCCTTGGCTTCCATCCACTAGATGGCAGCACCCCCTCCCCCAATTATGAAGACTAAAAAAAAAAAATGACCTAGGGAAATATCTTGTAGGCAGGTTAATCACCTTTATTTGAGAACCCTTTGTTAAAAAAAATTGTATAGCCCAAGAAACAAGATGTAAATAACAATATATTTAGACTTAAAACTACCAAACTCCAAAATCATCAACTTTCTTCCTGTTCTGGGTAATATATTAAACTACTCCATAACCAATGTGCTTTAAAACTATAGGAGGAATTTATGTTTTAATAATTGTGTAGATTACAGGAGATTTGGGCGATTACAACTGCTTGGAATAGTGAGTGTGTGGCATGCTCCACGTCCCTGCCCACACTTTTTACACCTATAAAGGTAATATTCAGATTGTTGACTTCTGTGGCTAATAAATGCAGGTAGAAGGAAATGCAGAGGTCTGGGACACACTGAGGGACAAAGCCAGAAGGAGAGAATGACCCTAATGTGACAGCATATCAAAATGAAACCATGGTTTCATAGAATCTGGGAAGTTTTGTTTGTTTGTTTGTTTTCATTAAGAAGTTACGTGTATGGGTCTATGCATGTGTATACAGTTGGCCTTCTGCATCTAAAAATTAAACTAAGTGTGACTCAAAAATATTGACATAAAACTTGGTGCTGAACATATGCAGACTCTAACTTGCCACTGTTCCAAAAGCAATAGAGTGTAACAATGAATTGTTGTACATTTACATTGCATTTCTTGGGTGTTCTAAGTATCCTGAGATGACTTAAAACACACAGGAAAATGTACAAGGGTTATATCCAAGTTCTATAATAGTTTATATAGAAGATTTAGACTTCTGTGGTGGCTGATAGGGACCTTGGAGCCAATTCATGAACATCAAGAGATAACTATATATGTGATATATAAAATGTATGCATGTAAATATGAACATGTAAACAGACATTAAAACATGATTTTTTTCAAATGGATGATGGTTGAAGAAAGAAGCAGGGGGTACAAGGTACTTGATGGGAGAAATGAATAAAATTCTTCAATTTGTTGAAGAAAATTTCCTACTAGGAACCTGGTAGAAACTTTTAAAGGGAAAAGCAACTAGACTTACTTCACATAGTATATAGTTCCTGAGAAATTATGACCAGACAATGAGATGAGGAAGGCCAGATAAGCACCTCACAGAACGAAGAAACTTACATGTGATAGAGCAGGAGCAAGGTCTTCAGGTGTGGGTCACCCAGCTAGAGTTATATGTCTCCATGTCTGTGTGTTCACTGGTATTACCTCAAGGAATAGGATACTGGGATAATTGACAAGAAGACACCCACAACAAAGACTATTAATGGTCACCTAAAAAGTGAGAAGATTTCCCCCCATGGAAAGGCATTTCATTTGGGAAATCACAGATTCAAATCTAGTCAAGACATTAAGTAGAGAAAGGCAATGCTGCTCACTTCAGGCTTGGGATCGTCAGCTCTATGTTGAACTTCTCAGCCACATGTATCTCCCAGATGCATTCCATGTCAGTGGGGTAGTTCGTAGGATACCAGGGACTGGAGAAGGAGCCTGAGAGACTTGAAATTACTCCTCCACAAGAGCTACTTCTTTCTGTGAAAGCAGGTGAGAGACTTGTGATTGGCATCTTCAGGAATGCACTTGGCATTTTCCAGATGCAGACACATCAAATTCTACATGGGAATCATGAAATGGAAAGAGATTTGGCTGGTCTGGATAGTCATAGTTAGGCTGGCACACATATGCATAGCACTAACGGGGGATAAAGGAGGGCAAAATACACACGATTGGCAAGCAGGACTCTAAAACATACTGAAAACGAGGCTGTGTATGTATTTTGGAGGAATGTGGGGACATCCAGGCTACACTTCTTTGTGTGCACGTTTGTGCGGGTACATATACACATGTGTGAATGGGTGCTAATCTTATGCTGTTGTTCAGGTACTTACCACCTTGTTTTCTGAGACAGGGCCTCTCATTGACCCAGAACTCACTGATTAATGTAGGCTGACTTGCCAGTGAATCCCAGGAATCTTAGGAATCCACCTATCTTTGCCTCTCCAATGTTGGTATTACAAGCATATAGCTCTATGCTTGGATTTTTTATGTGTGTTCTGGGGCTAAAACTTGGGTCCTTGTACTTGCAAGACAAACACTTTACCAATTGAGCTATCTCTCTTGTCTCCTTGTCCATATATAATTCTTTAATGGTCTTCCTAGACTATTGCATGAAAGACAGCTTAACTCAAGTGAGGCCAACATAGATGCTTGTAAGGACACCATCCTGCCATTCCTTCCTCTTATGTCATACAGGACAGACAGAAGTCCATGTTGTTTGTAAGAGTTATCACAATGCCATTCAAGTTTGTATGTTATAGGTCATACTTTCAATCAAGATAGTACTTTGTGGTATATGGGATTGAGAAATGGAAGCTTAAAAAAAAACAAAACAAAGAAAACCAGAACAGAGTCAGCATTATATAGTCATTTTATACTTAAATGCCAATGAATGGGCACATAACTATTTTGAAATTCTAACAAATAGTTTGGAAACACTCATTTCTCTTCCCATCTTTATCTTAGATAGAGCTTTCCTTCTCTCTGTAGAGTTACCTGAAAAATTGTAGACAATGCCCATGAAATCAAGTTATCATAGACATGATACTTTTTCTGTTGAGAACTAGGTCCACCAAGCCAAGGGCTGACTTGACTGACGAGCAATCACCTACAACAGCACCTCTGTCTTTTTAAACATATACTGTGTAAGGCATGGAGCACCAACTTCAGGAGAACAAGCCTCAGAATCCTTACAGACAACATGGGGATGGGTAGGCTGGACAAGGGTTCTGTTGAGGAACTGGGCAATGCTGCTCCCTTCTTTCTCCCAGCAGGTATCTTGTTGGCTTTGTTTTATAAGCAGTTTATATTTCAATATTCTGTTCTATCAGTATCTACCGCATGGTGGGCTTAAAGGCAAGAAGTTTTGAAAGCTTGTCCTGTAGAATTCTGGTGCTTGATTGAGTTTTACATGAAGAGTTTAGGTGGAAGCATTTGAAGCAGACAGGTCAGATGATTCAAGAACTCCCTAATCCCTGGTTCTCCCCATTTGGCCAGGTCTGATGTGAAGTTCAGCAATGATGGATGCTAGCAACTTGCCCATCATTCTTAGTCCTTTGTCAAGAGTTTGTTGGATATTAATAGAATGGTGTTTTTTTTTTTACTAATCTAAAGTATCACATAAATAATATTCTTTTGTGCCTAAGTAGGTAATCATGTTCTGTCAATAAATGCTTTATTGGTTTCTGTCGGGTTCTATTTAGACACTGATGGTTCATCTCCCTTGTGGAGGTTTGAATGAGAATGGTCCCCATAGGCTCATATATTCAAATGCCTGGTCTGCAGTTAGTGGAATTATGTAGGAAGGATTAGGAGATGTGGCCTTGTTAGAGGAGATATGTCACTGGAGGTAGGCTTTCCAGTTCTTGTGGATCAGATACAAGCTCTCAGTTACTACTCCAGTGCCATGCCTGGCCTGCCTGCTGCCACATTCCCCATTATGGTTGTCATCATGGATTTACCCTCTGAAATGGTAAGCCCAATAAATCCTTTCTTCTGTAAGTTGCCTGAGTCATGGTGTCTCTTCACAACAACAGAACAGTACCTAAGATAGATGTTGGTCCAAGAGAATGAGGTATTGCTGTGATAGGCCAGACCATGTTGTTTTTAAGAGAAATGTGAAAGATGTTGAGACTTAGTATGTAAAAAGTGGTTGAATGTTGTGAGTGGGGCTTGATAGCCCATCCTAGTAGGAATTTGGAGGACAGTAGTGCTGAGAGCAATGTGGACTATGGAGGCTCAGTTGAAGAGGTTTCAGAGGGGAGCAATATTAGCAACTGAGCTATGGACTGTTCTTATGATATTTTAGCAAATAATGTAGCTTTTTGTTCTTGTCCTAAGGATCTTTCTGGGGATAATCTGGAGACTTTTGAACTAAGTTTGTTGGCACAGGAGAGTTCAAGGTACCCAAATATTAACTCTACCATCATTTCACACTGGGATATAATCTGGACTTGGGTCAGAATTGTCCAGAGACCTCTACCAAGTTACTACTAAATGTGCTATGGTCTTGCCAGTCCAGGATATGGACATCTGCCAGACACCCAAAGAACCATAAGGAATACTCCCAACTTTGGTATTTCAGGACTTCACAGGAGGTAGATAGTAGAAACAATCACTAGGTATGGTTGGGAAAGATTGAAGTCAAGTCTCAGGAGCTGAAGTCAGGGATGAGGACAGCTGGGAACCCATTCCTGAGAAACATGATGAAACAGGAGGCAGGGTCACACAAGTGCTGGATCTAGAAGGAACCCTGAGCTTTGGTGAAGGAATTGAGCAGGTGACTAAAAGTCTGCCTTGTATGCTAGTAAGTCAGGAGGTCCACAGAGGAGCCTCAGATGGTTTACTTTCTTAGCAGCATTGTGCTCTCGCCCCACTGGGAGGGCTTGCTAGTGAACGCACCTTAGTTTTCCTGAATGCTTGCACTTCTTAACCCATGTCCCTTTGTCCACCTTTTCTCTCCTTCACATACAGTTCTCTCCTCAGCCACAGTGGCTTCCTTACCCTCCCTTGCTCTGCCAGCAGAGAGGATGGTTTGGGATCTAGTTCCATTTGGAAAATGTCACAGCTGGTTCTTGTCTGAGCTACTGTTGTATTTTATTACTATTGGGGCAGGGGGAACAATGTAGGGTATGGGTTGTATCTTGGCATCTCCATACATACAGCACCATTGCACTCTGCTTTTGTCCATTTCCCTCCTACACTGTGCTTCCTCACCCGCGCCCCCCCACATCTTCCTGGTTCTTTCTTTCTTCAGTTAGTTCTCACTTCTGCTCTCCTATTACATAAATTCCACTGCTTCCTCTATTTCCTATCTCTTTTTTAAAACTCATCCTCCTCTCTTATAACCCCCTTTTAGTTTCACAGCCTACAAATGCACATATATAAACATACACATGTATGTACATCTTTTCCAACTACACATCCCATTAGGGGTAAATGTGCAAGGAATATAAAGAATTACTTTTTTATTTCTGCTGCATGTTCGAATCACATAGGAGCTTGACTATTACTGGTGACTATGAGTAGCCCTCAAGGTTCTGATTCAACCAGTCAGTCTTGGGAACAGCTGATGTGCTGGGCATCTCAGAAGTTCCCTGGGTGACTCTAGTGTGCAGCCAGAATTGGAAATTACTGCTCTGATCCCTGTCTACCAATGTCTTTGTCAACACACAGATTTCTCAACCTTGAAGAGATGGAATTTACAGTGTTGGACTTACCTGGGGGTGAAGGAGTCACCTCAGCATCTGCATGAACAGGAAATAAATGGATTTAGGGAATTTAAATTAAATTCTTGGAGACAAAGAAATGTTAATTTTTCTAATGTGAGCATGTCTCAAGCCAACAGGCTTCATGTTACATGTGCAAGCATATAGATACAGTTTTTCCTGGGAAAGCAGCTTCACATCTGGGGAAGGTGCAGATGCAGACAATAGGAAAAGCCAACTAGGTGTCCCTGGGTGTCTGTCTTCAGAACAGTCAGACTCAGAATTCCCTGTCTATCTTGCTGAATGGGTGTTCTTCCTGAAAATTTACCAGTTCTAGACTCCTCTAGGAGACAAATCTCTAGGCTTATTTAAGAAGTTTCTAGATTAGGTTTATTGAGGTGGAAAGACCCACGCTAAATGTGGGCAGCACCATTACATGGGCTGAAGTCCCAGACTGCATGAAAAGAAGCAAGTTCAGCCAGCATTCATCTGCCTCTGCTTCCTGCTTCAATTCAATATGACTAGCTGCCTCGAGCTGCATTCTCCATGACTTCTCTGGCAGCGAAGACTGCATCTGAACCATGAGCCAAAAACCAGCCCTTCCTTCTATAAGTTGCTCCTGTCAGGTATTTTGTTTACACTTTGAGAAAAGTAACCAATATGGTCATTTTCAATAGAGTGACACCCCTGATCTGTCCATGGCTTCTATCCATCACTAAGCTCCTCACTGAAAGAACTCGTTATGGGAGGCACAATACCTGAGCAGATAACTCCAGCATCCTCATGGTGGCCGCAGTTGTGGTCTAACCAGGCAGAGCTGGGGCACTGGCCAAAGTGGCTCTCCTTTCCTGAACACTGAATGTTGTCCAGGAGGATGTTTCCAGAGCCTGGGCCAAAGTAGGCACTTCCAGGAGCAGCAACGGCATGGCCACACCCCAGCTGTCTGCATACGACCTCAGCTTCATTCATGTCCCATAAGTCGTCACACACGGTGCCCCAGGCCCCCTGATGGAGGACCTCAACACGTCCTGAGCACTGCCCAGAGCTGCCTGTCAGCCGCAACACTAGTCTGTCTTCTAAACAGAGGAAGATTCATTTTTGAGCATGGGAATGTTTATGTAGGAAATGACTCCTAGAGGCTGTGCCATGGCCAAGGCTAACACAACATAAACCCTTGCAGTTCTCTTGATTCCATATGAAGCCCAAGAGAGGTAGAGTAGGTCAAAAGCTAGGGTTGAATCTCATTCTACTGTTTCTCTTACTTGGCAATTACTTCATCTCTCTGAGTTGGTTCCTCATTTGTAAAGTGAGGAATCTCACAAGAGTTTATCCCAGAGGCCCTTGGGATGAATCAGTGAGAGTATACATATAAGACACACAGAACATGCCCAGAAAGGAATTCTTTCCTCAGAGACAGACACACCCAAACTTCAGAAGGAACTTACTAATTATCTGGCTTTCTGGCAACCACAAAGAATTATTGGTCTTCCTGCAAGGGGAACCCGAACATCAAAAAATCCCACAACTGATAGGCAGTGTTCCTCTGAAATAACTGGCTACAAGACCAGGGCTAAAAGGAGTCTCCAAGCCTTTAGTTGAGGCGAGTCTATAGTTTAGGGCATGCTGGGTGTGAGCTGGATCAATGGGTAGAGGGAGTGTAATCTCCAGGAGAGCTGCTTTTACACTTCGGAACTCTGGACAGTTCCCTAACCACTTATGATAGCAGAGGCAGCCTGGAGACCTCACAGAACACACTCTCCTTGGTAGCTGCCTGGCCTTTTACAACTATTCTTTGCAGTGTTTTGTTTGTTTTTGTTTTTGTTTTCAGGATCTACATTACCATCTTACTGTCACTTGCTACCTAGCCCTCATTGTAAGAAAATCTAGCCCCTTGTGAAACAGGGGTGATGTGGGGTGGGGGTATAAAATGGAACCGGGCCTCTGTAAATAGGAGAGTGAAGTTAGAAACTGTTCTCTATTATATCCCCAGAGATACCTGAGCTTCCTACCTGACTCTCTTCCATCTTGTGAAATTGCATTGAAAAAAGCATAAAAACCAGTATTTGTTGTCATGTAATCACTCCGGAACACCACTGTCAAGATGTCTGAGGAGGAGAAAAATACCACAGCTGATGGGGCACAGAACTTCCCCATGGAGAGTGATGCAATTCTGGGGCCATCAAAGATCTCAATTGAGTCATAGGGACATCCAAGGATATCTTCCAGGCTGGGGAAATAAAAGCTGGGAATTAGTGGCTCAGTACCAAGATCCTCAGTATCAATGCCCCAAACTGTGACTGTCTCAGAACATGAAGTATTTGTCAGCTTTCCCAAATGCTGTATCAGGACTCTATTTTCTTTGCCTGGGGAGTATGTGAAGCTTATTATTATAACTTTGTCATGAGTTTTAAAACCATAGTGGTTCTGACCAGCCTCAGAGATAATACAGGTTAGGATTTGTGATTGCTGTTTGTTTTGGTTTAAAGCAAGTCCAAATTGACAGCCTTGACACATTCAGTGCATGGCTGAGGCTGGCTTATCATGGAATTCAATGGTCTTGCTCTATTGCAGCATGGTGTGTGCCATGTGCGAGAAGAAAGGCCTTGTGAAGATTTTGCTGGGAGAAAACCTTTGGTGAGGAATGGGGGCTTCGACACCAGACAGACCTGCATTCCTGTCAATGGGCAAGTTAGTTACTCGCCACAATCTCATTTTCCTCATTGCTAATGAGGATGAGACATCTGTAGGCTGTAATGATTCTGGAGCAAGACAGAGCCTAGAAGCATCTAGCCCAGGGGCTGTGGATATAGCTCAGTTGGTAAAGTGCTTGTCATGAAACATGGAGATCTGATTTTAATCCCCAGAACCAAAAGGAAATTCTGGTTGTGGTGGCTTACTTTACTTTGAGTTCAAAGCCAATGAGAGACTTTCTTGTGAAGAATGAGGTAGACAGTGCCTGAGAAATGACACCTGAAATGACCTTTGACCTCTACATGCTCATTGGTGTATGCATGTACACATACACATAGAAGAAGTATGCATTCCATGGTCCAGACACACAGACAGACTTCTAAAATATTAGTTGTTACTTTATGTCATGGCAATGAAAAGGTAGCAGTGACTATGAAACACTGTTCTTTGTGTCACAGATGAAGCAACAGCTCTTCTATCTCCTTTTATTTTGGGAGACACTTAAAAAATGCACAGCCCAAGCCTGGAATAGTTCACTAACATGTGTCTTAGGAAAGTCTCTTAACATATGTATAAAATACAAATAAACAAAAGGCTAGCCCGAAAGGACATATATTGGTGCCCACTGTATAAGGTCAAAGGTTTTGAGCATTTAGGGAATATTTTTTAAAAGAATATCAAAAGACAAACCATCAAAGCAGAGCTGTGTCAAACATGTTGGCAAATGATTTGCTGCATTTCTTGCTAGAAGAGACCTACTAGACACCCCTACAAAAATAATTCAGACTTGAACTTGGAGACACTGTAGTGTTTTTGGGTTTTGTTTTGTTTTGTTTTGTTTTGTTTTGTTTTGCTCCTATGTTTTCTTCTCACCAAAGGAAACATCTTTACCATATCTCAACAAACTGATATTCTTACTAAATTAATTTTTCTCTTTAAAACTGGTTTCTTACTTCAAATTTGGAATCATGAGTTCTATGCGGAAGTTTTTCTCTACATGGATCTCCCAAACACATTGGATGTCTGTTGGGTAGTTTTCTGGGTACCGTGGACTGGAAAATGAACCAGAGAGACTGGAAATGACCCCTCCACAAGAGTTACTTCCTCCTGAAACATGAAAAAGGATGTCAAGGGGGAGCCACATGGTATCACTAAGTGATCTTAGAAATGACCAGTTCACAGACAATGTGGTCAAGAAAGAAAAGTCAAGTGTTGTCAGGTGGCATTTGGCCTGGGTGAGCTGATATTTAGTTCAGCATCTCTTGGGAAGCTACTTGATCTACTTCTGATGACTCGAAAGCATCACTGTGCAAGAATTCCCATCTTTCCCTCTGCTCCCACCATCTGCAAGGAGATGCTTACTGCATCTCTCCTTTCCAAAATGGAAAGAATCTTTGTTTTCTGGGAGAAAGATGAGGATCTACATTATGAGAGACTTGGAAGGAGGGGCAGAGAGATAGACTGTCTTGTGTAAGAGGGAACACTTTAAGGAGGTTTGTAGAACAAGAGGCTGTAGAACAACTGAAGTCTGATAAAGCAAGGAGGGGAAGGGACATTGGGCAGAGTTGGGAGCATATGACTGGGTGTTCTCTCAGTACACTGTCATCACTCGCTAGATTGTGTTTGTTTCCTGTAAGTGTCTTCAGACTGGATCTTGAATATTTGGGGATTTATAAAAGTTAAACAAAAAGACAAAGATCTAGTTCTTCCATCATCATCATCATTTTAGCATGACTAGATACAGCTCTACATAGGTATACAAGGCAGAATGTTATCTAAATTAGTAGATAACTTGAAATTAACAAATTATCTTGGAGGATCTTGAAAGCACAATGCACTTCATTGATTTTATACCTAAATATTATTGAATTGCTCAATTTTCCTTCTTTTCACCACTAGGACCATCTTGTAATCCTCATAGGTCCCATGGGTTCCTAATCTTGCCTAAGACAGATGCTGGGCACTGCTTCCAGACATCTTACATTTCATCATTAATCATCGTCTGGTATGGGAAGAAGCTGGAATCAAATACAGAGTGTTGTGCAAATGCTCTCTACCACAGAGCCAATTCCCCAGACCCTTTTGTGGAGACAAAGTCTCATTATGTAGCCAAGAATGGCTTTGGACTCAAAATCCTTCTGTCTATACCTCTCAAGTGAGGAGATAACAGATGTATGTCACCATACTCCGCTGATGGAGTCAAGACATACATGTGTGCTAAAGGAGAAAAAAAACCCAGGTGTCTATGAGCATCCACTACATGGATGTGCCTAAACATGTATCTGTAGGTTACAATACCAGGGTCAAGACATACATGTGTGCTAAAGGAGAAAAAAACCCAGGTGTCTATGAGCATCCACTACATGGATGTGCCTAAACAAGACAGGCTAAGTGTGGGTCAGATGGACTATAGAACTACATTATGTCATCTTGTTGACCTCTTATCTACTTTGTCCTGGGAAGACCCATAGTCTTCCTTCCTCACATGCTACTCCTAATAAACAGTCAGCATTTACGGAGTGGTAGCAGAGGAGTAAGCCCCCCACCCACATATGCCAGTGGCTCTTTTGTGCTATATCCATAGACATTGCCTAGGATCTGCTGACATGGAGTTACCATTTCAAGCAAAAAATAATAAATAAAAAGTGGCTACCTGTTATTGGATCCTGAGAAGCTGGAGGAGGACCTGGAAGGGGAAAACGAAGATAATAATGACATCCAGGGGAAATCTTTGGTCACATCTACAATTTTTGCATGGTGAAGGGTTTCTTTGGAAACATCAGTGTATTTGGTGCAAACTTAGAAGAGTCTGGAGCTGCTGAGTGAACCTTCTCTATGGTTCTATGACCAATCAAAACCAACCAGTATTTGGACATGCCTCTTATCACCAGATGAGGACTAGCCCCTCCCTTGATCCTGAGTGGGCTCTGCAACCACGTTCAACAATAGGATATAGCAGAAGCTATGCTTTGTCTTAAGGAACTACTGAGATCTACTTCCTGTTCTGGGGATGATGCTTACTCATACAGCCTCACACCTTTTTACCCACTGAAGAGACTGTATGAAGAGGCCCTGAGTCTTCCTGAAAGGGAAGAGGACCCATCTTCCCAGCTGCACCCAGAAAGGCACCAATCATGTAAGCAAAGCTATCCTGAGCTTTCAAATCAGCACTCGGGTAAATGACATGGAGACCCTACCTTGATGCTCTGAGGAGCAGAAGAATCCCAAGCTGAGCCCTGCTCCAATTCCTGACCCACAAAACCATGGCATGTATCTAACTGTACCTGTCTTAAAATGCTAAATTTGGGGACAGCAATGGAAAACCAGGATGGCTCCTTCTTCATTTCTTTATCACCCATACAATTTACATGAAATGAGTATACTACAGGCAAGCCTTCATTTAAATAGCTACTGTTGTAGTTGGGGGTTTAGCTCAATGGAATAGTGTTTGCCTAGCAAGCACAAGGCCCTGGGTTCAGTCCTCCAGTCTGAGAAATTAAAAAGAAACCACTATTCTTGACCTCATCATGCCCTTTTAGCATTAAACAGCATTTCTCTTACTCATGACCCCAGTGCATAAGCGGGCCTTGCCTTGGGACATTAAGCACTTATCAAAATCTCCTCCAGGTAAATGCCATGAGAGATGCTTTTTCCAATGACTTGTGACTTATGCACTCTCTGCAGTGGAAGGGGATAATCCAGGTACATTCAAAGGGCAAGTTGCAGTTTTCTGTCAAGCTAAATATTACAAGATGTCTGATCACCCTGCTGGAGAGACAACATGAAGAGGTCCTAGGACAGGAAGAGGAAGGAGGCCCATTCTTAAAGCTTTCCCTAATAAATTACTGCAGGTAGGGTTTGGATCTCCCTTATCCTCAACCATTAATGGTTTAAATAATTACCATATCAGGGGCCCTGGCATCGTATCTACCAATGTTTCGGGGATTAAATAATTACCATATCAGGGGCCCTGGCATCGTATCTACCAATGTTTCCATCAGAAGTTGCAATGAAAAGAAATATGTTTTCATTCATTTCCAGTATCATTCCAGAATTTATAGATTTACAGCATACAAATTAGTCTAAGTTTTCTAATATCTGATTATACATACATACATACATACATACATATGTGTGTGTGTGTGTGTGTGTGTAAATATTTGGTTCCCCACTAATTTGCTTAATGATCAAAATTGTTTAATCTTTCTTAAATCTTTCTTCAGAAAATATAACATGTGCGTTTTAAAAGAATTATCTTGCTGATGAGCAATAACATGAGCAAACTGTCTACCCATCTTCGCTGTAGCTTTGTCTGATTTAGGTGTCTACTGGACCAATGTAAATATGGCAAATGAGTCCAGAGGTCAAGTGCACTGGCAGTTGATCCAAAACCCCTGGATATCCAAGAGTTCCCTGCTAACTTTCCATGTATCTGTTTATTTGGGAAATGTAAATAATCAAAATATCTTCCTAAGGGGAATTAAAAGAGTTGGAAGGGGTCCCTGACTTAGGAAGATTTGACCTATGTCCATCTGTACATGTATGAAAAGCTCAGAGCAATGCCTGACTCTCAGCATTTTCTTAAAAAGTATTTGGTACTTTCCAGAGGCCATGGGAGTATACAGCAGATGACAACAGGCTGACCTACCAGATGACTGATTCACTTGGAAAGGCCATAGGGTCACTGGCTGTAGATAACTGTTTGTCTCTGTCTGTGATTTTTCTCATCTGCCACTAGTAGCAGCTATGGGTATTATTCCCATGGTTTGTGTGTTTATTTCATGAAAATATTCCATCCGCTAGGTACACATATAGCTGTGGATAGTCAGGAAGATGATTTCTATTTAACTGTATAATTCTGATGAATAGAAATGATACTAAGATATTTTTCATTACTCTGACATAAGAAACTAATAGTATTCTCAGTCACTAAGACATTTAATTTTAGACATCAGAACAAATTCAAATCAAACTGGCTGCCCCTGGAGACAAATACATGGTTGCTCCTAAAAACAGATACATGATGTTCATTTTCCATGTGTTTATTGCTGATTCAAGTTCAGAGAAGGAAGCAACTTTAGTAGACATAACTTCCTTAAGCAATGGACTTTCTGCACCCACTCTACAACCTCAAGGTTCAGCCAACTAACTGCTTATTGTTTAAGTCCTGAATTTCAATGTTGCTTTCTGTCTGGGAATTCTGACCACTCAGAGATATGTGCTTACTTTACTCACTGGCCGGTCAGCTCAACCTCACTAGCCTGAGAGAAACTATGTGATCAGTTTGACTATTTTTCTTAGTGTTTACTCAAGAAGTGCTGCATACCCCTGGAAATGTGGTTCATATTTGTCCAGAGGCTTTGCTGTGAGAAGAAGCAGGAGAGATATAGGGGGAATTAGGAGAGAGATGTAAAAGAACGCTGTGTGTGTGTGTGTGTGTGTGTGTGTGTGTGTGTGTGTGTGTGTGTGTGTAGAGAAGAAATATGTTCTAAGTTCCTTGCTGCTCTGAGAAGGCTTTCTTTTTGTTGCCCTGTGTACAGTTCTGGGAGCTGGCCTCCCAGGATGCAACAGGTACTGTTATCATGGTTGTTCTTCCTGGATGGGTAGTTCCTTCAACTAGGAGGGCAGTTGACATACCTGGAGGCATGGGTGGAGAGGGGCCATCTGAATCTGCACACACAAAGAAAAGCAACAGGTCACTCTCTTTGATGAGTTCAAAGGGTGAAGTGACAAGAGATAGATGGTGAATAAAAGGGACAGGTTTATGACCAGTCTTCAGGAACCAGCTACTAAAACTATCATTTGGGTGCTCTCATCTAGGGAAGACCTTGACTTAGAAAACCTAGCATAGCCATCAGGTCAGCTGTGTCTCATGGTGGGTAGGACTAGGTTACTCATGGTACTCCTATACAGAATTCCTGGGACTCTTGTTAAAATGCAGACTCCTAAGCTCCTTTCCAAACCTGCTCAGGTATAGTTTCTTAGGAAAGATACAGAATTTTTCCTGTAATGCCTCAGAGTGATGCCCATGGATATCCTAGACTTCCCATATGCCACCAGGAGCTACTCATGACAGGATAGGTGCCTAACCCAAGACCTAGTCCTGAGGGGTTGCTTAAGAAACAAATGGATGGATGGAAAATGCAACCGAGCAAAGATAGTTTCAAAATGTCTTAATATGTATAGGAATAAAATGAATACCTGAACAAATAACACCAGCATCCTCATGGTGGCCACAGTTGTGTTCCAACCATCCCGAATGTGGACACTGGCCTAGGTAATGTTCCATTCCAGAACACTGAAGGTTGTCCAGGAAGATGTCTCCAGAGCCTGGGCCAAAGTAGGCTTCACCAAGACTAGAAATAGCCTGACCACACTCTAGCTGGCGGCACACAACCTCAGCTTCATTTGAACCCCACAAGTCATCACACACAGTGCCCCAGATTCCCTGGTGAAGGACCTCCACGCGTCCTGAGCACTGGCTGGAGCCACCCACTAGGCGAATCTCTGGCCAGTCTCCTGTAGACAGAGATGTGGTGTGAGTCCCCACCCCCATGTCCTCACCTGGAATGTAGCAGTACCAGGCTCAGAGGACAGTAAGGGTGGGGTCTCCAACATTGATCTCATGTTTACTATGGGTTTCTGAGTTGCAGTTTGTTGGGGTTGCAGCAAATTTTGTTTCAACAGAATATTTTGTTTCCTATGTTATCCACTGATGGTACAGACATAGACCCTTAGGGAACTTGAGTCTATTCACCAGTGAATATATACATCTGTACAATGCATTATTCCACACTGATAATACAACAAAGGCAAAGGACAAGATAATGACAGAGGATAATGACAGAAAGGAAGAGTCTAGGCGAGACCTCTTAAAAAGGTGAGAAGGAACTGGTCAGTGGAAGAGCCAAGGAAGGTTCTTTGGATCAGAGAGAAGAGCACAGACAAGGAGCCCTAAGGAACCATGTCACTTCTGTATGTACCTTTTCTCTTGGTGCTATGATAGTGAGGAAAATGGTCAAACATGTAGCCCATTTGTCATGTAATATGTTTTACAAAGGGCATGCAAAAGCCTAAATTGATGGACACACATGCGAACACACGTACATATACATATAACACAGCATATGTGAAAAAACCAAATATGAAATCCTAGCCATACTTCCTAGTGGCATTCTGTAACAGTTTTTGTGGTTTGAAAAATAAGTGAACTCAGAGGTGAAAAGTCAAACAGCTTAAGGATAAAGTCAAGGGCAGCTGACATTTAACGGTCCCCTATTAAAGGCACCACTGACCTGGAACTTCCAACAGAGGTTTTTCAGCATCTGTAAGTAAGAAAAACAAATAGGTCAACATTTGGGAGAACTCCAGGATTTAATAACAGAAGATGAAGTTTCAGTATACTCTCACACAAATTTATTAATCTATTATCAACCCCTTTAAAGAACATGATACCAGGAAAGCAAATTTATCAATAGGTCTAAGTTTCTTTCCGAGGTGTCAGTTTGTTACAGCAGTGAGAGAAGATGGGCAGGTGTAAAAGGTTGAGGTTGAATGGTGTCTGCTCCCAGGAGCCTGAGTCTGCTTACTGGTGAAACATATACATTAGTGAGATACATCATTCCACACAGGCAGCTCTGTGGACAGCACACCCGTTCTGACAACAATGACTGATTCTTTCAGGTCACATCTGGGATTGCAGCTGTTTGCTTAAAGGTATCACATTGTCAGACAGGAATATCAGTAGACATTCCAGGGGGAACCTATTTACTCACAATTACATATTGATACATGGCACATGTATATATCAGAATATTTTAAAATGCCACAAGCAATTACACACACACACACACACACACACACACACACACACACACACACACATTTCTTCTTGCTATAACTAAGAAGAATGATAAGATGTACACTTCTTCATTGGGTACTAAGCCAGAGCTTTATAAAAAAACATCTTTGCTGCAAGACAGCAGTCAGTCTCCTAGTTCCCTAAGTGAAGAGATGGGGGGTTCTGAAAACTTAGATGCTGTGCAGGTGCAGTCTGGATGCTCACTGCGGCTCTGAGAGCCAGCCCCATGCCGTCCTGGCCTCTGGGCAGCTAATGAACACTATCATTTCTGCTCCCAAACACTTCCTGTATTCAGACACATTCTCTGCATGTTTCAGCAAAGCACACACTGATAATGATTACTGCCAAAGAAGAAAATTAGAAAGTGTACCTGAGCAGATGACACCAGCATCCTCGTGGTGGCCACAGTTGTGATCTGACCAGCCCGAGTGGGCACACTGGCCCAGGAAGTGCTCCACCCCAGCACACTGGAAGTTGTCTAGGAAGATATCTCCTGAACCAGGGCCAAAGTAGGCCTTGCCAAGGGCAGACACACCCTGACCACACCCCAGCTGTCTGCATACGACCTCAGCTTCATTCAGGTCCCACAGGTCATCACACACAGTGCCCCAGACGCCCTGGTGAAGGATCTCCACACGCCCTGAGCACCGATTGGAGCCACCCACCAGCCGCAGCTCTGGCCAATCTCCTGCAGACAGAGACCTGAGTAACTGTTGTCATCTGGGAACATGACACCTTTCCATGATGAGATGGTTGAGCTGCCCTCTCCTACATTCTATTAGATAAAGAAAATCTACCAGAGTCAGCCAACTAGTCAACCCCAGCCCTAGTGTGATAAACCACGAAGATTGTCAATAGTATCTAGCTCATACAAAATCCACTGATTGCTATCTGTTCTATCACAAGCATGCACAGATTTGGGCTAAATAAAGAAAAATATGAGACTTGCGCTCAAAACTCTGTGATTTTTGTGAGGAGCTTTCAAGTGTCACTTCTTTGGTAGCTCAAGGTAATGCATCAGGGTATTAGCATGCCTGTGAAGGAACTGAAAGTTCATCTGTGATGGAACTTGAAAATAGAAAAATCAAAAGGACTTACCTGAACTCGACTCATGGCAACCAACAGGTCTATCTATACAAGACCCTCCCACCCTCTGCTTCTGAAGTGCCTTTTTTCTCTTGTTCTAGTTCATTGCCTGTAGGATGGCTCTGAGCCTCTGCCTAATTTGGAAAAATCAATTAGTGTTTTATGTGGGAGGCAAAGTGAACTGTACCTGGGTCAGGCTTGGGAAGAAGTGAGATATTCCCACTGGAAATATTTGTAGACTGTGCAGGATTTGAGAGTTCTAAAGGACACAAAAGCAAAGCCAAACAATAACAACAACAAAACAGGTTGTGCGATCCAGAAGATTCTAGGGTAGAGTCAATTGGTCCATTTGCAAATACATGGACTGTGTATAGTTCTAGTATCCACATATGAAGCAGGTACAGACACGGGCACTGAGAGAAAGAAACACTTGGTACCCAAATGAGTACTTTCTGGGACTTACTTGGTCTTTCTGTTACCATCTTGGAAGTTGCTGTAGGGATGGCTGTGGAGACAAGATGAGATCTTGAAGGGAGGATTTGGGAAGCCAAGGGAAGCATCCTCACTCAGATCAGTCTTCATTAAACACCCAGGTCCCCACTGATTCTTTCACCTTGTCACTTATATAATAAGGAATGTCCTAAGTCAGATTCTCTCTTCCCATGGATCTTATGTTGCTCACAGATATGGAAGCCAACTGAAATGATACATCCCTCTGCCTCCTCATCAAATATATAACTACATAGTTTGCACTATAATGCAAACTTTCATAGACCATATCTTTCTGGGAGGACCCCACCTTTACTTTCTTCTTGTGATGATTAGTCTTAATTTCAACTCAGTTTTCTGTCAGGGCCTGTATATTGGAAATCTATTCCATCCTGCTACAAGTTCAGAGAGCCTCGACTCCTATTGTCTTTAAGATATCAGCTCATGGCTGCAGGTTGTCCTGGCCTTAGTGGTGAATGGCTCCTATCTAAATAACAATAGATACTCATCCTGAAGGCTGGATGATAAGTGCTGCTATGGAGCTCCTGATGGTCAAGTGTACATGCAGCTACAGAGTGTCTTTAGGATTGAGGGAAGTAATTGTTATCTGCCCTTTAGACAGGATAACAGAAGTCTTCTGCCATTGTCCCCACCTCTGATTGATTACTTAAGATGGTGTATCATTAAACTGAGATGGCATTCAGTATTAACTGACCCTGCCCTCCTGATATGATCTTATGTCTCTGTCTTTCCTTTAATGCCAATAGCTAGCCTTCCCTCATCCACACTCCCCCACTCTGGAACAGACCCAGGGCTGTTCAGCTGGTCCCAATCGCAGCCCCGCAAATACCAGTCAACCTGACATATGGCTACCTTAACACGGGGCTAATACAGATGGCCCTAACAGTTTTCCTTGTAAAGATCTTTCCACATCCATCCCCAATTAGTTTTATTTTTAGATATTATATCTTTTAGAAGCTATTATGAATGGGATTGTTTCCATGATCTCTTTTTCAGTATATTTGTTATTGGTATATAGAATATATATATATGTATATATATGTATATATACATATATATATAATTTTCATTAGTTGATTTTTATGTGTCATTTCACTAAAAGTCTTAATCATTTCTAAGAGTTTTCTCTTGGCAGTATTGGGATCTCATGCATAATGTCAAATCATCTGCAAACAGAGATAATTTCATCTCTTCTTTTCCTATTTGTCTCCCTGTAATTCCATTCTCTTGTCTTAGTGTTCTAGCTAGTGCTTCAAGAAATGGGGGATAGTGGACATCCCTATCTCATTCCTGATTTTGTTGGAATTGCTTTAAGATTTTCTCCATTTAGGATGATGTTGGCTATGGGTTTGTCATATATAGCCTTTATTATTTTGCAATATGCTGCCTTCAGTCTTACTGTCTCTGGGACTTTTATCATGAGGGCTTGCTAAATTTTGTCAAATGTCTTTCCTGCATCTGTTGAGATGAACATGTGATTTTTGTGTATAATTCCATTTATATTACATTTATATCTGACTTACTTGCTGAACCATCCCTGCATCTCTAGAGCAAAGCCAACTTTATCATGGTGGATGTTCTTCCAGACATGTGCTGTATTCAGCTTGCTAGTATTTTATTGAGGATTTTTACATCTATGTTCACTGGGGATACTGGCCTATAGTTTTCTTTTTTATTGTGTTTTTCCCTGGTTTTGTTATTAGAGTAACACTGGCTTCATAGAAGGAGTTCTGAAGTGATCCTTCTCTGTCTAGTTTTCTGAATAATATAGATCTCCTTAGAAAGTTTGGTAGAATTTCTCTGAGAATCTATCTGGCATTTTTTGAGGCCCTTTTTAAAATTATTGTTTTAATTTCCTTATTTCTTATGGGTCTTTGCAAGTTAGTGTTCTCCCCTTGGTTTAACTTTGGTGATTTGGAAGAATATAGAAAGTTGTTCATTCTTTTGATAATTTTATCTTAATGGAGTTTTATCTAAGATTTCATCTTGGCGTAAGTCATCATGATTCCATATCCACTTCTGACTTCATTAATTTGCATAACCTCCTTTCTTTTGGCCACTTGAGTCTAGGTCTGCTGTTAGTTGAGTCTGGTTCTTAAAGAGCCAGCTTTAACTTGGTTGATTCTTTGGATTGTTTTCTTTGTTTCTAGTTTTATCAGTTTCTGTTCCTGATTTTTATTATTTCCAGGAGACTAAGTGATGGGAGTATCTGTTAGGTCATTCCCATAGAGGTTTAACTGAACTGGGAAGATGTATCCTAGATGCAGTTGTGGCCTTTTCATAGGTCATGGTCCCAGATTAAATAAAAAGGGGAATGCATCCTGTATCTACATCTTTCTGCTTCCTGAGTGTGGATGCAATGTGAGCTCCAGCTGACACAGCTAGAGCCACTCTCTCTGCCATGCCTTCCTAGCCATGGTGGACTGTATGTACCTTGAACTGTGAGACAAAATGGACCTTCCTTCCTTAAGCTGCTCTTACCAGATATTTTTATCACATCAATAAGAAAAGTAACTAACATGTTTCTGCTGCACTAACTTTTACATGTGGAATATCTAATTAAGATGTCTTGTTACCTTTGTTAAAAACAAGGCATTAGAAAGTCAAATAGAGGGAGTTAGAAGCCTAACTTTGAAGTCAGGCATTGGTGGCACACACCTTTAATCCCAGCACTCGGGAGGCAGAGGCAGGCAGATCTCTTTGAGTTCGAGGCCAGCCTGGTCTACAAAAGCTAGTTCCAGGACAGTCTCCAAAGCCACAGAGAAACCCTGTCTCAAAAAAAACAAAAACAAAAACAAAAACAAAAACAAACAAACAAAAAAAGCCTAACTTTGGGTAGCAGCATCCAGCATATGGGAGTCTGAAAAAGCCTAACTTAAGTAGCCATGCCCAGCAAGTAGGACTCAGAGGGAGCCTAACCTCGGGTAGCTTCTCCAGGCATGTAGGAATCAGAGGAAGCCTAACCAGGTAACAAGATCACCTGCTCCCCAAACTACTACAGCTATCAAGCCCAGAGGAGAGAAGAATAAGGCCCGTGCTTGAGAAAAATGTGGCCAGATCCAAGATAAGGCCCACAGGATAAATGATGCTCAGGCAAAGGCAGCAAAGAAAGGAGAGTCACCTGCCTGCTCTGATCAAGGTTCAGGAGATGGGAAGCCAAGCAATTCTCCTGCTGGCTTCCCTCAGGTAAGGCACCCACCATCACTGCTAGTAAAGTCATGGGCCAAGAAGATATAAAATGATGGGCATTCTTTTATGGCCCCATAATCCACTGAAAACACACAGGTGGACCTTTTATCAAGGAAGGCAGGAATGCTAGTGGAGTACATGCTCTGCAAGTACAAAATTAAACAGCCTGCAAAGAGGGGAGAAATGCTGAAAATTATCAATAAATGGTTCAAGGGGCTCTTCCCTGATATCCTCAAGAAAGCCTCGGATCGATTGGATATAGGTTTTGGCCTTGAGTTGAAAGAAATCCAGCCCAATGATTAATCCTACATGCTTATCAGCAAGCTAGATTTTGAGGCTGATGGAAGTAGAAGCAATGAGCTGGGTCTTCCCAACATGGGCATTCTGATCCCTCTCCTAAGTGTGACCTACTTAAATGGCTGCTGTGCCTCAGAGGAGGAGGTCTGGCACTTCTTGAATATGCTATGAGTCAATGACGGGGTTCTACATCTCATTTTGGGGGATATCAGAAAGCTCATCACTGAAGATCTACTGCAGGAAAAGTACCTGGAATACCATCAGGTTCCTGACAGTGATCCTCCATCCTGTGAGTTCCTGTGGGGGCCAAGAGCCTATGCTGAAACCAGCGACATGAAGGTGATGGACTTTTTAGCTAAGGTTAATGAAACCATGCCCAGTGCTTACTCATCTTGTTTTGAGCAGGAAGAGAAAGCCCAAGCTGAAGCTGCAGACCAAGTTGAGCCAACCTATTCACAAGTGAGACATAAGGTAGCTTCTGCTATTTGACTGAAAAGGTCTGTTCATCTTTTTGCTAATAAGTTGTTGATAAAGTTTTGGGGGTCTTTTTGCAAAGTATTAACTTGGGATTAGAATTTATACAGATATATTTTGTAGACTGTGCCTTCACTGCAGTTTGTCAAGTTGAATGTTGACATTTTGAAATACAAATTGGAATTTTGCATATAACTTTGGTGGTACTACATCAAAGTCCATGGAATTTATGGATGGAGAAACTTGGAGATAGGAAAATATGTGAAAATGGCCAAGATTAAAAGTCAGTCATTTGTTGTTTACTTGGTTACTTTTTCCAAACTTAAAGATGTGCACTTGTTTTTGATATTAAAGAATGTATGAGAAATTAAAAAAAAGAAAATCAAATAGACAATTGTGAACACAAAGTGATCTGATGGTTGATTAAATGTAACTTAGTTCCAGTGTGACCAGGCATTACATTTATGCAGAACCCTGCAGACAGAATCTTTCTGTTGCAGCAGACTTGTACTAGGAATTAGGAAATAGGACAGTGAGAGCAAAGGCTGACAGTAAAAACACCAGGAAGACTAGGCATGGTGGTGTACTCAGGAGGCAGAGGCAGGTGGATCTCTTGTGAGTTTGAGACCAGCCTGGTCTTCATAGTAATTTAAAGGAGACCCAGGGATACATAGTAAGACCCTGTATTTAAAATCAAAACAAAACAAACAAACAAACAAAAAACCCCACCAGGAGTAGGGGCAGAAAAAGAAACATGAACTAAAAATGGTAATGAAGTAATGACATAAGAGTTGACTCACTGATCAGATATGGGGTCTTCGATGTCATCTCTGCAAAAGCAAGGAAGCTATGGTCAATAAATGTTTGATATAAATTATGGAGATTTATTTGACCTATTCTTTGGTGCCATCTCCTATGTCTTACAGTGCGTGTTGCCAGCATGCTTAGTGAGTTAGCCCAACACTTACTGAAGGCCTGGGGACTTTTCCTAACAAAACAGGTATGAGGCCTGCCTGGTATTTTTAGGTAGAGAGTAATTAACTCGGTAGAGGTAATTGACTAACTTCTGAGGGCTCAGTTTCCCACTCTGTAAAAAGGGATGATCCATGGGTTTCTGTAAGCATAATACATGCGAGGAGCTTAAATCTCTAGCAAATGAATAACCAGTTAATGTCAGCTGTTATCGAATTTGGCTCACAATTATTTTAATTGATCTTGCTAACTTGTGTACACTGTGCTTTAATAGCTTAGCTTCTGCCTTCCCGGCATGCACTGCATCTCACTTCCAGCTCTGATCTCACTCTTGAAGTCCTCTTACTGATTCTCTATGAACCACCTACCCAATGTCACAGGCAAACCCAAAATTTATCTCCCCTGATGTTTGCAGCCTATAGTGCTCCTGTCTTTTCTAAGGCCTTTTTGATATCTATATATGGGTCTGTGTAGCACATTATATTACACTCCCTATCTTATTGGTTTGCCTTAATTTAGTATATTCCATTTACCTTCTGATTGTGTCTTGTATATTAATCTTGAATTCCTTTCAGGTTGTATACAATTATGAGAGAGGACCTAGAGGAAACATATTCACTTCCTCTGTACAATCTAAAACACCTGTCTGGGCCTAGATTGGGGGCATTATCAGAAATGACTCCTTAATAACCCATCTTGTGTTGTGTGAAGCAAACAGGTTCCCCATCAGTCAAGTGGCTTATTCAAGGTCATGGAGCAAATGATGGCACATCAGCAGAAAATTCAGAGCTTCATGCCATCTTCTTACCTTTGGCTTCAAAATAATAATAAGCCATGAAATTTTTCCCAATGTTGTTCATGCCTCGGAAGTACACAAGGGTCATGGAGCTGGAGTGGGATGCAAAGGTGATGTGCAACCCACTGCAGGGTCTCCCCAGGGACTCCGTGGAAGATGGAGGACCATCCAGGATTTCAAAATACTCATTGGTGCAGTCAAGGCTGGGGAAACAAATACCATGAATGCCTCTTGATCTACTCATCGGAAAGTTGGGAGGCACTTTGTCAGTCCTGCTTTATTTTATAGGGGTAAGAATACTCAAAACTTTTCTGTGACATACGTACAGTATGATCCTTCTATCCTGTATTTTTCCTTTGAAAATTGCTGTATGAAAGCAATGGGATTTTTAGCTGATAGAACAGAAAGAATACTGGCTCTAGTGGACCCCTGTTGAGGAATGGAAACTGCTGTGACCACAGAACTTTACAGTCTTAGGCCAATAGATAATCAGTCATTTCACTATGTTATGTTTGAGAGGAAGAGTCTAAAATGAGGGATTTGGGAGTTTGGTTGTTCATGGGGCTGGTAACAAAATATAGCTCCAGGTTCAAATCCACCCAAACCCTAAAAGACAAGCTTTGATAGCTAGAGGGAAGTGGGCTTCAGATCCGCTCCACTGGCTCTGAGAAAGCCATCTGGCTTTGTGAGCTGCTGTGTTTCTCTGTGAATTTTCGTGTGGCTGTTACCTGCTAGAAGCAGACTATTCCCACATCACCAGCCCAACAGCCATGTATTCCAAACCATTTTTAAATTAAGTGCAATTCAAGATGCATAAATGATTTGGTGTTTCCTTGGGGTTAATTTAAGTGTATTTTTAATCTGTGAATGACTTCATTTTTGTGTATTTACAATATTAAGACCTAAAATTTCCTCAGGTTTTGTATCATTCACCAGATAGCCAGAACACACCAAGTGTCTGTGTATGAGTATACCCCTCTCTGTTTGTTTCTCCTATACAAAGCCTGTATAGTGAATTGCTTTTTAATTAAAAATTCATGGAAGTATGAACTATCGAAATATATTGTTACAAGTATGGAATTTTCAAAAAGTATATGAAACATTTCATTAAAAGTAAAGCTACATGTCTTGGGGAAATTCACAATCATACAAGAAAGCAATCCTATTTCCTTATACATATAATGAAAGTGTGAAAAACAATGTAATTTATAATCATTCCAACAGCTGCAAAAAGAAAGCACTATATACATATACAAGCTTGAATACAAAGACTTAGTATAAAATCCCCCATACTACCTAGGGTGCATGTGTTGCTGGTGGGAAGATGAAATAACAGCCATTCTGGGTCTCCCTGTCCAAAGATACTGTTTACTTACCATACAATGCAGTGGTCACATACACTTAAACATGCATCCCTAATGAACTTACACTGATGTAAAAAACCTTTCCTGAATGTTCCAAGAAGTTTTATTTGCAATCACTGAAGACTAATAACAAGCCAGATGTTTCTCAGAGGTGAAAGGATTAACCAATACTGGCTCAACCACATTAACGAAACCTTTTCCCACAGTGAGGAGCAACAGCCCCTAGGCCCTGTGGCAACCTGATTGGATCTTAGGCGCACTGTGTTGAATGAAAAAGTCAAATCCCCACCAAACCATATATTGTATGATTCCATTCACAGGACATTCTTGAAATGACAACAGGTAGAGGTGGAGAATAAACCACAGTTAAGGGACAGAAATGGGGTAATCTTGGACTACAAAAGGTGAAAGGGTAGGTCCCTAGTGTAATGTGCCTGGAACGGAGTGGTGATTTTGTGCAGCCATTCACAGGATTAAACTGTGTGGAACATCCACCCCCATCCTCACACAAATAATTGCATGTTGACGTTTTTGAGAATTGAATATGGGGTTTGGTCCAGTTAATAGTAATATCAATATCGATTTGTTGGCTTTGATAATGTTCTACCGCTGGGAGATGTGTAAGAGGGTAAGCAGGCCTGTGTACTACATTTGTAATTTCCTCTGTGTTCACAGTTACTTCAAAATAAAAAGTTTAAAAAGCATGGAGGACTCTTGAATGTGAGAATCAGTGGAGGGATGAATGGTTACAAGTGCACAATATACTTACATAGTATGGGCCACTTACTCAAGAGATGGGAATGCCAGCCTTACACGGTCAGAGGAATTTGCCCTGATTTCCCACACACAGGTTATGTTGTCATGCATTTCATTCATTGGGGGGTTCTTAATTTTTCCAGGTGCCTTGGTAACAACACCACCACAACGATATCTTTCTAAAAGAAGAAAGAGGTATGACAACAACTTCATTTTCCCACACCAGTCAACATGCCAATGAGGGAGGAAGAAAGGTTCACAAGGCCCCACCCTTGCTGAAGACTGGCAGGCAGTCAATGGCTCCAGAGGGAGGGAGGATCAGTTTTATTTACCAATGAGGCCTCTGATAGGTTGCTCTTCTCAAGTGATCAGCCCTAAAGCCTTGTACAAATAGGGAACACTAACTAGAATCATATATATATATATATATATATATTGACATAAACTGGGAGGGGGATTTGGCTATCAGCTGAGGAGTTAGAAGGTGAGGGTGGTGTGGATATGATGCAGATATGCCATATCATTGTATGAAATTCTAAGAAGAGGGTGCTTTAAACCTTTAGCATCCATTGTTCAGTTTACTAATTTTATAATTTACACTTTCACAAAAAGAGATTTTACTGCTCAGCACTTTGTGGGTGTGTCTTAGGATTATTACAGTTATAAACTGGTCTAAAATATTTTCCATGCTTAAGCTATTGGCACACATCTGTCTGAAGTTTGAAACATTTCTCATGTCTATTGAGACTTCTAGTTTCCTGCTGGGAAGACACACATTGAGCATACCTTTCTCTGTCATTATCCCTTAGTTGTGGGTTCCATTTCTTTTGTTAGCCATGTCTTCCCATGTATCTCTCATGATCTCACAGAACTAATGAGCAGAGTACTGCTCCGGTTTTTCCAGTTAAGACTGAACCTGTGGAGTTGGGTAGTTGTGGCACACACTTTAACCCCAGCACTCAGGAGGCAGAGGCAGGCAGATCTCTGTGAGTTCAAGGCTAGCCTGGTCTACAGAGCTACACAGAGAAACACTGTCTCAAAAAACCAAAACAAACAAACAAACAAACAAAAACCAAGTCTGAACTTGTGTGGGGTGTCTACATATGTGATGATGATAGTGCCTGGCCCACCACCAACCATTATTTCTTAAAATGATGCTATTAAACATATACTATTAGATAGATAAAAACGGTGTCAGTCATCTACTCTTCTGTTAATGATAGCATTTTATGTCCACTGTCCACCCATCTATGCTTTTCACTGGATTGTCTGTGTGTCTGTTCCAACACTTAGTTCAATGGCAGTGTAAACAACCGGTTATCCAATCACATTATGTGGCTCTGTGGGGACTGACTCTGACCAGCCAGGCACTTCAGGCATCATCATCATCATTTTAGCTATTTACCATCAAATGGTGCTAAGTCTATGCAATGCCTACTGTAGGTTTGAGAACCCAGGAGCATCATCAAAACTAGAAAAAGAGCATATGAAAAAGAGAGTATGGAGAAGAGGGTGTGGGGATAGGGCAAGAGCAGAGAAGGCAAGGACTCTTCATAGTGGGCCCTTCTGAAGTGATGGCTGTGGTACAGATTGCACACATCATTACATGAATGGCATCATGGTGCTCTGGCTGGGGGAACACAAAAACTGCCACCTCTCTTTGTTTGGAACTCCTTTGACTAACTGGGAATAAAAATCACCTCCCTAAGTAGCCTGCTCTTTCTTTGGGGACTTTTCATGTGGTACAATTTCTGTGGGGTGATAGACTAGGCAGTAGCATTCTGGCACAGTTTCCTTGAAGAATCCCTTCAAGGCTTGAGCACTAAGAAAGAGGACATTGAGTTCTTACCTGGAGCCACTCTTCCTTCCACTGCAGGCAATGGGAGATCTGCTAAACACAAAAAGAACATGTGGACCAACAGCTGACACAGGTCTGCACAACTGTCTGTATTTGCGAATCATGAGGAACTCATGGCAAACAGTGCCTCAGCCCTCCAGGACTCCTCTAGAGGAGACACCTGAGCACTGAAGGGCCGTGTGGTACAATACTCAAGCATAGCTGAAGAGCTGACAAGATCCCTCTTAGACTTCAATGGATGAATCTCTTGTCACACATAAAAATACAGTAATTTCAAAATTACTATTTTGAAATTTAGGGTTCAAAGTAAAAACCAAAGACATGAAAATCTAACTCCTAAGCCTCAGTAACCCAAGAGGTTGAGGATTGTATGCTTAGGATGTAGAAATGAGAAGACACAGCACTTCAGGGGCCAGAGTGCTGGCTCATGTGGTAAAGCACTTGCCTTGCATGCCCAGGACCCTGAGTTCAGTCTCCAGAGCCCATGTACAAAATCTGGGCTTAGTGACACACACTTGCAATTCTAGTGCCAAGGAAGCAGACACAGGTGGGTTTGCTCACTGATCAGCCAGCCTCACCTAATGAGTGAGCTCCTGGCCAATGAGGGCCTTTGTCTCAAAAACTAAGATAGACAGTTCCTTGACTCCTCTCTCTCTCTCTCTCTCTCTCTCTCTCTCTCTCTCTCT